GTGTGTGGGTGGGTGGGGGGAGAGATCTGTTGTCCCACTTACTTATGCACTCACTGGCTGCTTCCTGCGTGTGCCCTGACCCGGCACCGAACCCAAGACCTTGGCATACCAGGATAATGCTCTAGCCCACTGAGCTACCTGGCTAGGGTCAACAGTATATTTCTTACTTTATTTAGAGGAATTCAAAGCCTCAAGTTTTCTGTTAATAGCAGCTAAGTTTAGGTAATCACTTCCTATTTGTATGGTCTGTTAACACGTCTTAATAAAAGTAACACTGCTTTTAAATATTCATTTTCTAGGTAGAAAAAATAGCTATGTATCATATTAGTTTATATGCTTTTTAATTACATTTAGAATGTACTTGTAAAAAAAGATAACCAAATGTGTGTTTAGGTAATAATATGTAACTCAAAAACAGAACTACCTTCAATAATCTTTACTTTTCCTTCTGACTTTTGAAAATATATGCATTTTATTTTGGAATTACTTCAGATTTGTAGAAAAGTCACAAAGATAGCTGAGAAGTCCCATATCTACCTTAATTTTTCAATAAAATAAAATGTGATCTCAAAGCTGGAATGAAGAGTAGTGAACATCAAGATTTTTTGAAAGAAGACGTGTTGGATTCAAGACTGATACTGGGAAATGATCACAGATATTTCTCCTTTTGCCTTCTTGACTGTACATTGAAATGGCAACAAAGTAATAAAGGTATAAACCCACAGAAATAACAAGAACAGGATTCATTCACTTACTCAACAGAGTACTAAGTTCTCATTATGTGCTTTCTGGGCACTGGCCTACCACCGGGAACAGCTAGGACAGGTCGGTGTGCTCAGGGGACTTAGGCACTGTTCACTGCTAGCGAGACAGTAGGACAGACCTGTGATGGGGACGGGGGGACGGTTACTTTAGACTGTGTGATCAAGGAGGTTCTCTGTGAAGAGGTAGTGTTTTGACTACGATCTGAATGAAAAGAAGAGACTGGCCATGTGAAGACCTGATCTAGGTACACATATGTAAAAATATTTCTGGAACACGAAAGGCAGATGTAACAGTACAGAGAAGGCCCTAGGCCACAATATTACTGTTAAGCGGGAAGCAGAATTGTCCTGCACAACTCTGGGAAGATATTGTACTTCAAAACACCAACTACAAAGTCTGTACATATTTGCGATTCGCATTTGGGAATCTAAGTATGTGGAGGGACAACAAGTCATACGCTGATTTTTGATAGCGCGGGTGGGTGTTGCCCAACCCCTGCATTGTTCAAGGGTCAGCTGTATTTTGAGGAGCTGATCTTCCTCCTGCCGCTCTCCTCCGCTGCCCTGGGGTACCAGGTACACACAGACTGGGCCCAAAGTGGGAGAATTCTTCCTTTAAAGAATTTGAATGGTCACAGAGCAAAGACTTGTGCACACTGGCATTTAGGGTTTCCCTAGTCAATGGCAATTCTCTCTGCTGGACCACCCTAAAGTAAAGTCCTACGATCTATGTACACAAAGTTCCCAAGCAGCTTTTTATAATCAGATTCTTAAATACGAAAAGACAATCAAGGGTCAACAAGCAGTTGAAGAACACTTGCCACATGGAAGGAAGTAATCCAGACATATAAATAAAAAGAGTGCCTACAGAAAACACAGATAATTATTCCAGGAATACAGCAAATTACAAACAATTAAAAAGCACTGCTATCACTGTCTTAAGAGATATTTGGGAAGGCTTTTTTTTTCATAAAACAATACAAGATGTTATGAAAAATTAATAATCAGAGAATAAGAAGGGGCTCTTGGAAATAAAAAAGACAAAGGGAGGAAAACATGAGAAGAAAAGTGGTATAAAAGCTCAATCCAAGAAGTCCAACATCTGTCTACACTTAGTTTAGGAGAGAAAGAAATAGGGATGTAGGAAATAAACTTCAGATTGAATGTGTCTACCAAGCAGCCAGTACATCCATGTGAAATATAAGGATAAGAAATCCTATTTTGTTTTCAGAAAGACAAAAACCTCAGGTAATCTATGAATCAATGAGAGTAAGCTTGGCACGAGACATTTCATTAGCGACACTGATGCGAGAAAACAATGAGGAGCACTGCCACATTCTGAGGGAGAAGATTTGGCACCTAGAATTTAAACCCTGGCAAACTGTCAAGTACGCTGAAGACATTTTTCAGAAATACAAGAACTGGAGAATTTTACCTCTAAGACACCCTCCCAAAGGCAGATACCTGAGAATATGCTGTAGGAAAATAAGAAATGAGACAGTGAAATCCAGAAAGGAACAGATCCAACAAAGAGGAATAAAAAAGAAAGAAAGAAAGAAAGAAAGAAAAAGCCGGGTAAAACACAATTCAGAACAGAGCAAAACACAGAAAACTTCAGGATGGAGTATCCAAGGAAAGAAAGGTGGATTTAATACTATCCTGGAGAACACAGAACAAGTTAAATAAGCAATAAAGACACACAATAAAGGCAAAAAGATGCAAAGCACATAAATTTATGGTAAAAGGACTGTAGCACCTGAACACTGAATCTATTACAATATAAACCACGGGAATTATGGCTTGCAAACAGAAAATAAACGTTGCAATCATCAACAAAGTATTAGTACCAATGATGACAATGATATTACTAATATAGCTTATAAATTGAGAGGTAGGTGGGGAAAAAAGTGTAAGAGCACTAATTTCCTAATACTTCATAATAGGGAGGTAATCAATATTATCAAAAATTTTAAAGTGAATCAAAGTGTTCTAAACTACTACTTTTAAAAATAATATTTCTTCCTTAACTTTAAGGGAATCTTTTAGGAGCTAATATTTGAAAAAAAATTGTCTGAAGTTCAATGATTTAGAAATGTTACTGTGCTTCCTTCTCCTTTCAAGTAAAATTTAAAATCCTTTTTACTTAGTGTGCATAGTATGATCCCATATATTTAAAATGTTTTTAATATCTATTTATCTATCAGAGAGATCTGTCTGGAACGATATACCCCTAGTGCTAATGATGATATTTCTAGGTAGTAGAATTTTAGGTTAGTTTTGCTCTTACTTTTATAATTTTCTGTTACTTGATTTAAAAATATGTAGAAATATGTATATTTTACAACAACAAAGCCACTTTTAAAACATCATAGAATTTTAATTAGTTCTACTCACCGATAGCTTTGGTATAATGTCTCGCTCCAAGAAGTAATTCTGGGGCTCGGTACCAGAATGTTACAACTACTGGATCCAAATCTGCTAAAGGCTTCAAAGGTGAATTAAATAACCGGGCAAAGCCCATATCAGCTGTAAAAAACAAAACAAACAAACAAAAAAATGAAGAATGTTAAGTAAATAGATTTTAATAAATTTAATTGATTACTCTAATTTTACCATTGTTATTTAGTAAGTTACGAAAATGTGCTGAATTCTGGGAGAAAAACCCCACAAAACCTAAAGATAAAACAAGTTGGAGATCTTCGTTCTTTGCAAACTATCGTCACTCACTCTTCAACTGGGTTAGAGACAGGCTGTGAGGCCAGAGGTCAAGGGTGACCCTACTCCTCTGGGCAGGTTTCTTTCCGTCTGTCATACCACCACTGGGGACAGGATTGTTAAGCTGCATTTCCATTCTTTGCATTGGTCAAAAGCACTGAGAAACTAGATCTGAGTAAAACTTTCCATTATCGCATCAATAAGCCTGTTTACTGGTATAATCAAAAGTTGGCTAGACAGTATGTTAACACCACTATTTCCCCCCATTTATTTGGGTTGAATTTTACTAACTTAAGAATCATAATATTTTGTTAAGCTGGAAAAATACTGAGTCATATAATTCAATCAATCACCTCCTTTTCCAAATGAGAAAACTGAGGTTACCAGAAATTAAGTGATTTGACAAATGCCAGCCCTCATATCTGGGAGCTGGAGCTGTGGTGAGATACATTCATGGCATGTAACATGTTTCATATGTAGTGTAGTTATTCAGGCAAGGCTGTTTATCCTACTAAACTGTAATCTTGTTAAAGGCAAAAATTATGTCTTTTTCATCTCTCTATCCTTTTTAGTATCAAGTATGGTGTCATTACGCATAGCTTTTGGCAAATACATGCTGAATGAAAAACCACTACCATACCACCAATTCAAAAATTTCAAGATTCATCCACCATTTGTTTAGTTTTGTTTTCCTAATATACATTTTTAATGAACTAGGCCCTAGTCTAATCTAGTTAATTATGGAGGTTTAAAAAGAACACAGAAATTTGGCAAAGAATTAAAACCATGAGTCAGATGACTAAGTACTGGTTTATAGAAGACTGATATTTCTTCTTAAATGTGAATGCTTTTAAGCCGTTAGTGCCCCCCAAACCTGCCAACATTATATACATTACACAGAAGTATAATTCCAAAATAGATTATCTTAATATATGTTTTCCTCAAATTTTACAGTAAAGAACACATCTGTCACTACTGTTTGGCTGGGTCTTTATATTTTGCATGCTTTGAACTTATATTTAAATTTGGTGCCACCAGACTGGATTGGACAAAATCCTTTAAAAGCACACGTGAGGACTCAACAGTCATTTGATGACAGTTCTAACAGGGCCTGGTTCTCCAGGGAAGTCAATGGCTAGGAGTACTTTGAGGTACATCAAATGTTATCACTACTAAAAATTTTGCAAAGTTTATATCATAAAAGAGTATGTTTGAGTCTAATTAAAAGTAGAAAGTGAGATTTGGAGAATTTACAGAGGAGGACAGGGGTGAGGAGTTAGGAACACCTACGTTTTGGTTGGAGAAGTGGCACAAATCAGCGTATAATTCTAACTCGTGTTAAACCATGCAATCAGAAACTACTATTTACTTTGTTAAATACTCCCACAATCCTGCTGCCTTTAAATTAATACAATTCAGTTGCAACATTTCTTCTACCCACACACAAAACAAACTAAATGCGACAAAAACAACTTGGAAATGACAATGAAAAAAATAACCAGTTAGGATAAATTAATTTAATTATATCCTTATAGGTTATCAGATCGAAGATGGGTAAAATTTCGTTTTGATATTTTTTTTAAAAGCTATTTAAAAACATGCCTAGGTACAGAATACTCATTAATTTTTTTTCCCATCAGGCAAAGGCCTGCTACAAGACATGCTTGTTATAGCTTACGGTTCTGTACCTATCTGGCCTCGTGGTTTTCCTAGTTTGTAATTCCTAATCTGGATGAGGTCAACAGAGGCATATGTTCTGATCTGATCGGGCTCAGGTAAACAGGACTGGTTTATTTACTAGTATGCTGTATGCCCTTGGGACTGAAGGTGAGGCTGGCGTCTAACATAGATAGAAGCCACTCACCTCTTACAGGCTGTTTTTGATGAAGGTAAAGGTTTCTAAAAAACTTGCATGCTTATTTTATAACCATGACACTTCAGTCTGTAAAGATTGTCTGACACCTTAGAGAGTGTGAAACGCTTTTCACTTTTAATGTATATTCTTTAAAAATGGCTTCAAGCATATGGAGGCACATGAACATATGCATATTATTAAAGCAAAAACTAGAAGTGATACAGCTGCCTACAAAATCTTAAGAGTGCTACACTGTGACTTATCAAAGATATAACATACCAATTTTTACTCTTCCTCGCTCAGGACCTTCACCCATAACTAAAATATTAGCAGGTTTCTGTGGAAACAAAATAGTGTTTTTTTTCAGTAGACAATAGTGGTTTCTTTCAAATAGACAATATGCCAATATAACATAAATCCACCTTTTTAAAAACCTCATTTACTTAAAAATTAAAATCAAATACAGAAATTCACCAAAGAAACTTTATGTGTATATATGCAAAGCAATATACAATCTTCATGAAGGCCCAAATGTGGCAGTGCTTCTCTGCATGCGAGCTATGGCTTTCCTGGCCCTTTTATCAGTCTGTGCTCACGACTGTGAACCATCTGACAAAGTTATGATGTTGTGGTTCCTTTTAACTCTTTCAATTATATAAAACGTCCTGAAACTTTAAGAAATAATGAATTTTCAAAGATAATTTAATACTAAGTAGCAAATTAATTATAGGGAAGGAGTCACCTGATACCCTTCTTTGGAAACAGCAAGCTATGGATCTATGTTTCAACAAAACAATTATAGCAAAATCAATTTAATAAAGTCTTTTTTAAATGAGTTCGTGAAGTATAAGGAATTTTCCATGACCTGACAGTTTTGAAATTTTTATTTTTAAATAAAAAAGGAAACTAAAAATTTAAAGTGAGATTTTTACAAAGTAATATTTTAAACAGTTTTAAATCTCCAAAAATAATATACAGGGTTAACTGTATCTAAAATCTGTTTAGTGGTGTCCACTATACTAACATAAGGGGCTGATCTCTCTCCAAGAAGGGGGAGGAAAAGGGGATGAAGGAAGAAAGGGA